TAGTCACGCCCTTTTATGTTCAGGGCGAGGAGGGAGAAGGTGAGGATGTTGGGGCTGGTGGGCGCGTGTTGGAGGAGGTGTTGTAGGATTTCGGAGGAGTTGTCCATCTGGGGAGAGGGGGAATTGGTTAGTTAGGGTTGGGTGGTGTTTGGATTGGATGGGATGGAGGGGTGGAAGAGGGGGCGGGGGTTCTGACCCTGGGGTACCCATTTGGGCGAGACAAATGAACCGGCTTCAATGGTGGTCAATCCCGTCTTCGCCAGGCGCTCAATCAATTCGAGCTTAGTTGCTAGCGGGATGGCGCGCTTCTCGTTTTGGAGGCCATCGCGGGGTCCGACCTCGACGAGCTTCACGCGGTAGTCAGATGAGGCGCGCTGCTGATCGGATGCTGTCGCGAATGTCCGGGCATTGCGTACATACGGCCGGCTGGCCAGCAGTCGACGTGAAAGCAGCGCATACCTCGCCATTTTGTAGGTGTTGATCAATCCATCAATGAGCAAGAGAAGGGCTTGATGGCGGCTGTCGGTAGCCGAAGAGGAGGTGCGAACCAGTGGCTGAGCAGCATCGTGAGCGCATAGCATCGGCGTACTGTGCACAAGGCCGATCCAGCTCACGTGATGACATTTGGGGTTCAAAAGTCTCCATACGCCCCACCAAAACCCAGCCGCCTGCATTTCTGACCACGTGCTTTAACAAAAGATATCTCAACAACTAGTAGCCAGAACCAAAAAATGATATATACAGTTAGTAGTCCAGGTCCCCCACTTCAATATTTGGTATACCAACCCCGAGCCTTTTTGACGGCAGCAAGTCGACGAGGCATCGAGTCAATCAGCCTGTCAATCAGGGCTTGATCTATCGCCCTCCACGCCGCCCTCAGTTTCTCCTTGAACTCTTCGACATCAAGTGCGTTCTTTTTGAGCTCCCAAAGATCAGGGAACATCTTCCTCAGGTTCCTTTTCAGAGCTGCCCAAACATGCTCAATGGGGTTGAGATCCGGGCTATGTGCAGGCCAATACATCCATTCGATTCCACGCTCAGCAAGCCACTTCCGAGTCAATTCAGCGACATGGATCTTTGCGTTATCTTGCTGGAAATGCCTTGTACCATCATAATGAGGTAGAAGACCCTCTTGGAGAGCCTTCTGATACGAGTTGGCGGTATACCCCTTGCGAGGGGCATCTTCATCCCTCTCCATAATGACAATGTCACTCCGACCACCTCTCCATACCGTTGCCCATACCATGATCGTAATATTTGCTTTAACATGGTTCTTTAAGTTGACAAAGCGCTTGTCAAACTTCTCCGAAGGAAAACGAAATACCCAAGAAGTCGGATTCGAGGTGTTATTTTGACAAGAACACTCGTCAGAAAAGTATGTCTAAGTCAAATTAGCAGAGGAAATAAGGGGTCAACTTGAAGCTTCATACTCTTAACAACTCCTCAATATCCTCAGGCCACGCACATACCCAATCATACCTCTGCCGAGCATCTTACTTGGAGAGAGGTATTCTCTTTTGTGCTTTCCATTTGCGTAAGTTGTGGGCGCGGAGACATCGGCGGATTGTCGAGTAGGAGACTTTGGACTCAGTGGCTGCCACCAGAGCTTTTTTAGCAAGACGTCGGTTCCTCTTCAAAAGAGTCAAGATATACCGCTTCTCTGATCGCGAAAGCTTCTGAGGACGGCCTTTTCGAGGTTTCGAATCAAAGCTCTGTTGAGTTTCCCAACGTCGAAGGGAGTCCTGTACGGCACCGACAGAGACGCCAAATGCGTCTGCGACAGCCCGGTAACTCTTGCCGCAAGCTACTGCAGAACAGATAGCTGCACGAGCAACTGGAGATAACTCCTCGTTACGGGCACGATTTCCCACCAGTTTGGCCGCAAAATCAGCTAAATTGAGCTTCATGGCGTGGAGTTATTGCGGTTGGAAGAGAAGAGGGGTGTCGCGACGCGTGGAAAGTCGTGTTTAATTAAGTGGGGCGTATGGAGACTTTTGAACCCCAACTGCAACGATCCCAACCGCGAGAGCGAGATCCCGCATCTGGGGCGGCCGATCCACTCTTCCACGCCATTACACGGCCCCACTCACCCACAATTGGTGACTCTGTTAACTAGACCTAGGTAGTTATTCCGTCATTCATCCTAATTCATCCCATTCATCTCTATCATGTATGGCATAGAACTGAATCGCGACATCATGGAATTGCTGCAAACCTTACTTACCGACTTTTGGGAGGCGGGATAGGGCAACTAGCCCCATCTCCCACATATTGCCAGCAGCTGGCTGACCAGTTTTCCTCTCTTCTATAACTATAACTAATTACATAGTAACCCATTTTACAGACCAGAGAGAGGCATCACCATTTATTCACGAATCCTACAAACATTTACTTGATTCTTAGTTTTGGTGTCACTGACAGCTGCGAACTACAGTTGATATTAATTCACACAATCATTTGCACACCAATATGGTCGACCCTTTTTCCCGAAATGCCAATGCACGTTATGCAGCAAGCAACGACTTTATTACCGAGCTTCGGAAATCCCGGGCCATGTCTCTATTATTATACCAATTCCAGAATAGAAGGATTAGACCCATCCAGCTAGACAGCCGCAAGGACTTCCCGGCGTGGAAGGAGCACTTTCTTTCCGCCTTGAACTGTAACGGTCCCAGGAGTATATTGCAACTATCTGGTGACGACGCTACGAGTACACTAAGCTTGAAGAAGAAAAGGAAAGATGAGAGAGTCTGGCAGCTTGTGGGACTGCTTTATGACCATGAGTGCGGTGGCCCGAGCGCATTGCTATTGTACGTGAGCTGGTCGAGGGTTACCGAGGCCCACCTCGGACACAGCCCGTTACATGAATAGTGCAGGATTGAATAAATATATCACAACCGACGTTCCTGAACCAGAAGACTCCCGCGAACAACGCCTATGGATGCGCGACAATCGACATTGACCATTACATCCGCAATACGGTCTCCAACCCGGAGATCTGGAAGTGTTAAGGGGTCTAGGCTGGAACTGACAAGTCATAAACCCTAAAATGACGTACGACAAGCTGGTCCAGTACTTCGAGAGGGGCGCCAGCGGCGGGGGCATCGAACTACTCCAAGAGTTCGCCACGATCCGACGCAGCGACTACCCCGGGATGGTGGCCTTCCTAACACGCGTCCAACACCTCCACCACTGTGGTGACCGCTGGGCAGGGCCCCTGACGATGTGGATCGTAACTACCAATGGCAGTGGGACGGCTATCCGTACCCACAGTTACGTGAGATATAGCTAGATAGATTGGAAGTACCAGCTTACCTTGGTACTTCGAAAAAACCATCACGAATCAATTAATCAGATCCTTGTCGCTTATGCATGCAAACGGTCACCACAACCACCGACTCGAGATCAGCGAGTGCGGCGTATCTGACACGGCCTACCTGTGGCTCGCGCTGAAGGGCATCGAGACCGAGTACCCCGAGGTGTATAGCCTGCGTGTCACGGAACTCAACAACGGGGTTCTGAGCTGGGAGGGCCTGATGTCCACGTTCCGACAGCTGGTGGCCTTAGAGGTCGGGCAACCCGCTGCGATGTCGCTCGCCTCGTGGCAGCCGGCGGCGAGTCTCGCTGAACCTTCGCGGGCTAAACGGCCTTGGACGTGGCAGGCTACGGGGACCCCGGTGGTAGGGAGGAGTTTCCCGTGGCGCTGGATTTGAGAGTTATATTCGCCTCGGGTCGGGTCGATGCTTCCTCTCTCAAGAGTCTCACGCTGGCCGCGTTCCCTTGTCCAATCGGTGCCTTAAATACGTTTTAAGAAACCTCGATGTAACTTAACAGTCGATTCATTAATTTAAATAAAAAGAGTCTTCCTATTTGAACAGGAGTTTTTTTCTATTTGGACAGTAAAGTCCACATTACTAGCTAGATTTACCCCCCAAAAATCGCAATTGCCACACCCACACACCAAAATACAGTGTAAGACACTGGGAAAGGAAATCTTCATACAAAATCACACTCTATCCACCCTGACCAACGCCGACACCCAAAACGACAGCAGCAGCAGCCAACGCAGCCGCGTCCTCTCCACCACGCAAATCTCCATCGCGCCCACCATCACCGCCTCCGCCACCCTCACCACCACCTGTCACCCCCACAACACCACCACCACCGCTACGGAAAAACGGAAGAAAATGACCTCGCGATCGCGAATGACGAAGTCTTGGTGTTGTTGCTGTCTTCAATTGACAGGTATGTCATGTGCCAGGACTTTGCACTGTAATTAGGTGTGTAATAGTGGCAACAGTGGTGTGGGCGCATCAATTTTAGTACGGGCACGGACCTTTACTGTCCAAATAGAAAAAGACTGCTGTTCAAATAGGAACACTCAATAAAAAACACTCCAATTTATTGAAACAGTCAAGAGAGAAAGAAGGGTGACATGATGCCGTATTTGTAACTAAGGAGGTTCAGCAATCTTGAGATTTGTCACTGACATGATCTAAAAGAAAATGGAGATTCACCCGGCCCACCGATATCAGCAGCCCTTTTCTGTCAATTTCAAAACATTGATGCCGCCAGGATATAGATGAATGACGAGAAAAACTGAGAAAAAAAAGAAGGAAATCTCAGCCCAGTCACCACCAACCACCAACCTCTCACCCCCTCTTCCTAATCCCCCCCCGAAGTCTTAATAACCGGCACCACCGCCCCCTTCCCCTCCGCCCCCCCTTCACTCTGCCCCTCCCCAAACCCAGTCTTATGCTCAAACTCCAAAAACCCCTGCAACACCACCACCTCATCGCGATACGCCATCGCCACCGTCGTCTTGCTGACCACCCTCGCAATGGGCTCGCCCCCCGTCTGCCAGACAGACGGAATAAAAAAGTGCCTCGCGTACGCCTTGCTCGCGGGCAGGTTCTTCAAGCTGACCGAGCACACCCACCCGCGGCCGCTCATGAAGAACAGGTTGGAGCGGTGGATGCCCAGCACCGATTTGATGTTGGCGGCGAGCTGGCGCGCGGTGCAGGTGATTTGCAGGCGGGTGGTGGTGGCCGGGTCGAGGGTGGATAGGTCGAGGGTGAGGAAGGCGGTGAGGGGGGAGGCGGGGAGGGTGGTGGTTTGGATGAGGGTGGACAGGCCCGGGCGGGGAGTGCCATTCGTCGGTGAGGGTGAGGGGCGTGGAGGCGAGTTCGGGGGGTAGGTCGATGGGGATGCCGTGGTCGGGTGTTTCGCGGGTGAGGTCTTCCCAGTGGAAGACGTGTAGGGTTTCGCTGTCGTGCTGGAAGAGGAGGAGGCGGGAGGAGTCGGTTGGGTGCGGGAGCCAGCGTGCTGTTCTGAGCGAGTGGGTTGAATGTAGGGTGCGGTTTGGCTCGCCCGGGAAGTGGACTTCTTCGCCGGATGTGGTTGAGATGAGGAAGGCGGAGGCGTCGGGGCTGACGAGTGCCTGTAGGACTGCGTCTGAAGCGCGGAAGTCGAGAATGTGTTCGAACTTCTGGAGCTGGAGCTGGAGCTGCTGTTTCTGTACTGCTGTAGTAGCAGTTGTGGACGATGGCAGCGCCAACCGTGTGGCGATACACCGCCGCGAAGCATCTACACTGAAGAGAACTTTACTCTTCGCATTCCACTCGAGATGGCGAATGTCCACCATACGGGCGTGGAACTGGAACTCGGTCAACACCTTGCCGGTGTTGGTGTCGTGCACCGTGATAGAGCCCTCCTCGCGTCCGCAAAATATAAAGTTCGAATCACCCGCCTGCGTCATGATTGTGATAGCCTTGCTCCCCTCGAAGCTCCGCGTACAAACCAGGTTCGATGCGGGCATCAGGTAGTCGTCGGCCTCCTCGCTTGAGCTATCGTCCGCCAAGTTCTTCTTGATGAGCACCGACGGCTCCCAGACGTTGCAGGTATTGCCTCTGAGGTCGAAGAAACGTAAGCTATTTGAAGCAAAGACGATGCCCATGATTCGCTCCTCGATCGACTGGATTCGGCACAACAGCCGTAGCCCATCAAAGGAAAACAGCGAGATTACACACTCACTGTCTCCCGCAGCGAGTGTATGTCCATCTGGCGACGCCGCCAGCGTATGCGCGTTCAGATGATACGCATGCTTCTGCTCCAGCGTCCACGGATCGAGCGTCACCAGATCTCCGTCCTGGTACGCCACAGCCATCAGATTCTGCTCTGCATTCTCATTGAACGCAACATCCAGCACCTGCGGCGGCAAGCCCCCATCCTCATACCCCTCCTTCTCAAACGTCTCAACCCTCTCATCACTCTCGTAATACGACAGCTTCAGATGCGAGCTGCGATACGCAATAGCCGCGATCCCCAACATGGGACTAATCCTAACCAGCACCGGCACCGTCCTCTTCTGCTGCTGCTGACGCTCCATCCCCGCATCCGAGTCCGAGTCGGACACCTCCTCCTCCACAATCACCAGCGCGTCCAGCCGTGCCCCATTCTTCGCCCGGTACACATACACCTCCCCATTCCTCAACGGCACATATAGTTTGGAATCATCGGAACTGAACCGAAACGAAAGCGGCTGCTCCGGCACGACCGTCGACCACAGCAGCGCCTGCCTGGGACCCCAGACCTTGATCGTCTTCAACCCGCCCGAGACCAGCACGCCCGTGATGTTGCCGTTGGCGAGGCGCCGCACCGGCTCGCCGTGGTGGATGGTGTTCAGCAGCTCAAAGGTGCTCTGGCGGTAGATCTTGATGGCGCCGTCGGCGAGGCCGAGGCCGAAGAACTGGTCGGCGCAGGCGATGGACATGACGCGCGACGAGAAGGTGAAGGACGACAGGCGCTCGTCCCAGTCGTTGTTGAAGGAGCAGAGCACCTTCTGTTTGAACTGCCGCGCGAACTTCCAGTGGATGATGCTCGACTTTGGGCAGAGGAGCGGGATGAGGGAGTAGATGGAGGAGGGTGTGTTGACGAGGTTCGGGCCGTAGATGGCCGACAGCCGGACGAGATCGTCGACGAAGCGCGATGTGAGCTGGTAGTCGGAGTCTAGGGGGGAAGAGGTCGCGACCTGGCGGGAGAGGTAAGATTTGAGGTTCTGGACGGTGCGGGTTAGCAGGGAAAGGCGGCCTGTTTTGGCTGTGCGCTCGATCCAGGTGAGGACGTTGGACGAGACAAAGGTGCCGAGCAGCGGGAGGAGCTGGAGGGTTGATTCGGAGGGAGAACAATGGGCTAGGTGGTAGGAGAAGTTACTGGCGGCGTAGTCATCAAACACGGCGGCACTGCTGTTGGGGTCAGTCTTGGAAGATACAGCTGGAGCGCGGCGGGTGCGAGGCGGGTTGAAGTTGCGCCCATTGAGATGTTGTAGGCAGAGCTCCGCGATGCGCGCGTGGGACCATGAACGCGGGATGTAATAATCGGACTGCTCGCCAGTAAGAAACTCCTTGACGGTTTGGTGCATGACCTGCACGTAGTTGTTGTCAACCGTGATGAGATTGCCGCAGATTTGGGAGAATCTGTCGGCAGTACGCAAGGTCTGGTTGATATCCAAACGCACCACCTCCCTCAACTCTTCCGTCGTCAGGGGTTTCCGTGCACAGACGACCCATTTGAGAACGCAGTGGGCGAGGTCGGCGTTGGGCGATTCGATGATGGTTTGCAGAATCCCGCTGTACATGCCACTCATTTCGGAGGGGACTTGGTCAAGAGTCTTGCGCATGGCCTCGATACTATGAGCTTCGTCCAGGCGCGTCATAATCAGTGAAGCCCAGAGAAAGATGCCGTTTGACTTCTCGATGATTTCCGCCACTAGGTCGCCTTCCTCCTCGTTGAAGTCTGCGATGATAGTAGGCGAAAGCCTCGACCTGACAAAGCCGTCAATATCCCGGAGCGACTCCGCCTGACCAGTGTGCATTTCTACTCTCGCGATCTTCTCCTGGTTGAGCAAACGCTCGACATGGCCGTTAGGACGGCTAGTAATGAATATTCTCAGAGGCACATTTGGTTCGATCCTGGAGAACATTGACATAAGCGTTGTTAAGAGCCGCGCCTGGCACTCGTCCAATGCGTCGATGACCCAGTACTGGGGCTGCGAGAGGGCCATTTTGAAGATACGGCCCAAGAAGATGTTGTTCCAAACCATGATATGGTCGCTGTGGCTGTCGATGGTCTCGCCCTCCTCCATCATGGCTAAGAAGGTGTGTCGGACCTGAAAGTTAGACTCTGCCATCTGCAGCGCCATGGACAGAAGGAACTGCGTGAGGCTGGGTTTCTCGTTGTTCTTGAAGAAAAAGTAGGCGCAATCAAGGTTGAAGGACTCGAGATACTTGATTACGTGCCCCGAAGCGACCGACTTCCCGGAACCAGGTGGACCGTTGAGCCACAAGAACCGGGGCGTCGCCTTTGCCGGACCCGAAGTGATGGCCTTGATTGGAGCGTTGTTGTCCATGAGGTCGCACTCGAGCCAGTCGTGGAAGGCTTCATGGGAGGTCAACCACTCGCAGGAGCCCATGTGTAGCTTGTCAAGCATTCTAATGAAATCGCCGTCTGGACGCTCTGCTACATCGAAGGCTTGCGCAATTTGCTTCATTTGGGTGCGATGGCTTTCGAATTTATCTATGGTGTCTGGGGCTGTTAGATGTGACGTGGGTTGTTGGATTCTTAACTTACAGCTCCTCTCTATCTCCTCGATAGTTGTGTTGAAGCAGCGGAGTAGAATGTTGTAGTTTGGGTCGTCGACAGAATCAAATTTAACGAGGCGGCGGTGGTTCGCCTGTAAATATTGGGTATGTTCGCCAGGAAGTCCTGATCAAAGGTTAACACAGTGGACGAGTTCATAAATTCATAAGACTTGCCCATAATAGCGGAATCCTTTTCAACAATCATGGTGTTGGCCGGGCCCGTAGAGGTTGGAATGCCCTCAAAGAAGGACCAGAGCCTAACGTCGTTGCAGACGTGGCGGAATTCATCGTTGATGGCCTGATTCGTTAGCGGTCGCCTCAGCCCTTGATGAAAGAGGTCTACATACCTGAAGAGTACCCGATCCCGGTATCAGTTCCTTGACAAAAGCTTTTGACCCAGAGCCTATGGACATGGAGATCAAGGTGGTCACAAAAGCGCTCGAGTCGGCACCCCGATGCGGAGTTCCAAGAAAGTACAAGCTGTGGATTCTGCTCGCAATATCCGCGTAAATCGGGTCTCTTCTGGCAAGGAGGTAAGCCTGTCACAAGTTAGACGATGGTTCGTTGCGCGGGTAATATGGACGCATTACCTTCTTGACGACCAAACCCCCCATGCTGTGGGCAACGAGGACAATGGGGGTCTAAAACAAGTTAGCTAGCCATTTTCTTTTTTGGGAAAAAGGGACACCCAGCCGCTGCTCACATTCCCGTTTTTCTTTAGGTTCGGCGAGTTATACAGATCCGCCAGCAAAGCCTGGCCGTAATCATGCATGGTCAGGGTGCTTTGCTGTGATTTTGTCCAATCTGAATCGTAGCCAAAGCTGTGGATACGAACGTGGCGGAAGCCAGCCTCGGATGGTAACCATTCTTTCGGCCAAAAGGTAGAGGGGTCAGATGAGGCACTCCATGACCTTCTCGAGCCTCCGTTCAGACCATGGACCTAAGATGGTTAGCTGTGTCATCGAGAAGCGGTAGTGGGCGACGTACAAAGATGAAATCCACACGTGGTTCTGAAGGTTCATGCAGAAGCGTTAGCCCTAGCGCTCCTTTCACACCCTCAGGAGACTGGGACGCCTTGGGACGAGCTGGCGATGTTGATCGTCTGAGACTCTGCAGCCTGCCGCGAAAGCTGCTCGGGGATACCTGGCGGTCCTGATTTGTCGGTACCAGGAGGGTAGAGGTAGACAGTCCCGTCCTGTCTGATGGGGCCCATGTGGCAGAGGACTGCAAATGTATGTTAGATGAAGCCCATTTTAAAGGACAGAGGAGTTGCCTACTCGAACCGACATGTTGCCCCTCGGCACTACTCGACGGTACTCGTTTACTACTAGGCAATCAAGACTTGGGCGTGTCGTGGTACTAGGGAAAAACAATCATGGGATAGGTGCGTTTCCCAGGACGAAGCGGATATGTTTGGAAGATCAAAACCTAACAACGACGATTGTGGTATTGGGTTCGAGAAGGATGAGCTCGGCGAAAAGAGGGGAACAGATGGAAACGGGATGTGGGGAGTCAAAGTTCTACATGTCATGGTATGGTATGGGCCATGCCATGGTGACTGGCCCACGAGCAAGGCCGAGGAAGCCGACGTCAGTCACATTTTGTGGTCAAGTTATGACGAGATTTAGTGTTTGAGGCCGTCTCGCGGTGGGGAGTCTGAAGTCCGCTTGGCCATGGTTCGGGGCTATGTCGTCTGTTGCGGCTGGACCCATCGTTTGCTGAGTCTGCGCGCACAGCCCTTAGGTACGCCGACATGGTCGAAATGAGCTTGGGTGCGTCACGATTGAGTCTTGAAACGGCGACCTGGTCGTGACCTGGGTCTCGAGTGTAGCTGCGCCGCCGGATACGGGTCCATTTTTGTCGGTTGTTTGTGTACGACAGTGTGGAGAAGAAGTAAGATAGGATGAAAAAAACAATCGATTCGTTTATTAATTATTAAGTCTTCAGTAAATCACCGGAGAACCCTCCGAGGACGCTGAACACCCCGGGCCATAATTGTTGATGCTTGGCGGGGAATTCCTGAATTGATGAGGATTCCCCATTGGGGAAATTCAAGGTGAGCAGGAACTTCAGAGTCGGAAAGTGCTCGCGTGGGTGCCTACCTCGGCGCTGATTACCTCCTAGGTGTACGGTGTATGTGCCTAGGATTCAGGAAACCACAAATTCTCCTTCCTCCATAAAAATAGCCGGCTGCCTCGGGACATTCGGAGCCGTCAAACAGTGAGGTCGTGACTTAACCTTTCAACTTGGAATTGGCAAGAAGGTTCTTTCATTGATCGTGACCAACACCAGCCCTTTTTTGACGCTTGCATAATGGCTGCAGTTGGTTGGGCGACTTGAAACCAACAACCGAGGTCGATGCAGGTGACCAGCTTGCAGCAGCCTGGAACCAGGGCCGATTCTCGAAACGACCCCTTCAATTGGCCGTCGTCCCAAAGACCCAAAAAGCCCCCAACTAGTCCCAGGCCCAACAGCTCAGACGCAGACGGCACAGAAACATGCGGGACCCTTTGCTGTGCCACCCCAACGGGCACAACAACTCGGGACCCCCCGCTTAAATGTCCTGGGAGTCACCTGAGAACTTGCCGGATCTGTTCCTTCGGCTTCACACCACACCGAATTGGATGGTAGGACGCTGACCTCTGATCCATCATCCATCATGGCCACCGACGCGAGAGATGTGGAGGAGAACCTGAAGCTTGACGAGAACCTCCTTGCCGGTAGGTCGACTGCTCTGCTGACTCCTGAGTCTCCCACTGTGTGAATTGCTGCTGATTTTGTCCCGAATGAAGTCCTCCCACAGGGCGGGGAGGTGGTCTCGGTCAACCCGTCAGGCATGAGCGACTACTGCAACACCTATCGCATCGAGGTGAAGATGCCGGATGGCAGCTCTCAGGTCTTTTTCGAAAAGGAAGGGTCGGGCGAGACAGGCCGAGGGTGTGTGGAATCAGCTTGGAGGTCCGAGTCCGCTGCCTACGAGTTCATTCCCGAGCATGTCCCCAGACCCGTCGCCACGGGCACCTACAAGTCCAACACGGACAAGCACTTCTTCCTCGCCGAGTTTGTCGACATGATTGAGGACGACATGCCTCGCGAGGAGTCCTACATGGCCGCTGTTGCCGCGCTGCACAGCCGTAGCATGGGCAAGTCGCCAACGGGCAAGTTCGGCTTTCCCGTCAACACGCGTTTCGGGGATCTCGAGCAGGACAACACCTGGTCCGACAGCTGGGAGGAGTATTGGACGAGACAGATGACCGACTTTTTGGATAAAGAGGACGCTGCCCACTACAACGCGGAACCACACGAGGAGCTCGAACGGTTGCGCCCCTTGTTCTTCGAGAAGGTATTGCCGCGATACCTGCGTCCGCTCGAGAGTGACGGTCGTTCCGTCACGCCGTGCTTGATCCACGCCGACCTCTGGCCGGGTAATGTCAAGTACAAGAGCGACGGTGACACGGCGTGCGTCTATGATGCCTGCGCCATGTGGGCTCATAACGAAGGTGCGATTGCTGTGATTTTTAGTTTGGTTTAACCCGCTGACCATGTGCTACGCAGTCGACCTTGGCGTCTTTCGCAATCCGAGATACCCGCTCGGAAAGCCGTACCTGAAGGAGTACTGGAAGCGGGTTCCGATCTCGGAGCCTGAAGAAGATGTGGACAGCCGAAACACCCTGTACATGCTGAGGGGCCAGATCATGCTGTCAATTCTTTACCCCCACGACCCCAAGCTGCGGGAGATGTAAGTCTTCCGAAGGTAAAAAATAACGGAGGTCGCTGCTAACATTTCTTCAGTTTTGTGAGTAACATGCGCCTCTTGGTGGAGCGGGTGGAAGAAGAGGAGGCTGCTCAAGAATCATTGCAGCCTCGGCTGTAAACAAGCCCTTTGGCGGCTGGTGTTGGTTTGGAATTAGGATTGGATTGTTGGATAAAGGAATTGGATGATGCTTAATAAGAATGCTCAAGAGGGACTGGATGGAGTATGCCTAAGGCCTTAATTCAAACTGAACAAAACGGACCTGGTCCCATGAGTTACCGTTTGTGGTGCGGCAGTTTACGAGCAGCCCTATGCTGGTTCATGCAGGGGCCCGTTGCAACTCGTATGTACGCGCCAGGACCCGGCAAGAACTGCGTGGCCCGGATCCCACGTCAAGACGCAAGAGGGGGTGCGTACCCGATTCTGCACTTTTCGACAACGGCCGGGATCGGCAAGCCTTCCGGGGTGGACACCACTTGATATGCACCTCGCCATCTGCAGACGCTGTTGCATTATGCAGCCCTCCCGCATCGTCAACCGGGCCCACGTCCTGTGATTCGTCTGTCAACCCTTACACCGCTTGCCCGCGTTCCGGCAATTGCCGCATGTGCCGCTCTGGGTACGGTGCAGCAGTCGTGCAGCCCCCAAGTTCCAACCAACTGGTGGTTGTGGGTAAAGAAGGCCTGCCTTTCTGGCCAACTGCCCAAGTGATAATTGTAGAGGTCCCCTAATGTTTCAGCCACGTGAAATTGCATGTTTACCTTTTCAACCCATGCTGGTCAAAACTTAAACTTCCGAGTCCTCGGTGTTTCTGTCCTTGGTTGCCGTACTCCCTCGCCAACGCCTCTCCGGGAGGGCTTACATGATTAGTACATCGCCGCCCAAAATGGCATCTCGGGCTTCCCTTGGGACCTCGGTCATGAGGTCCCGGCCCTCGACCAGCGAAGGGAGATCCGGCCCATCTTCTTTGTCGTCCACCCCCGACCTCACCAGCATCGCCTATGAAAAACAACCACACCAACAACCCCCATCCCTCACAATATCTCCCGCAACCCCCATCCCCTCAAAAGAACCCCCGCTCCAACCCAACAACAACAACAACAACAACAACAATGCCAACGCCAAACCCAAAGACCAACCCCCCTCCCCCTCATCCGACCCCGACCCCGATGACCCCCCCTTCAGCATCCACGCGCCCCTCCCCAAAACCCTGATCACCCTCGCCGCCTCCCTCGCCGCCCTCTTCAGCACCCTCTCCTCCTACATCTACTACCCGGCGCTGACCCGCATCGCCGCCGACCTGCACGTCTCGCTCATGCTGGTCCAGCTGACCATCACCTCCTACCTGGTCGTGGCCGGGGTGGCGCCCGCCTTCATGGGGGACATGGCGGATCGCGGGGGGCGGCGGCCGGTGTATGTGCTGATGTTTGCGTTGATGGTGGGCGCCAATGTGGGGATCGCGCTGCAGGAGAGGTATGAGGTGTTGTTGGTGCTGCGGATGGTGCAGAGTGCGGGGTCGTCGGGGATGTATGGCGCAGCGTATGGGGTGATTGCGGATGTGGCGACGATTGGGGAGAGGGGGTCGTTTGTAGGGGTGCTGTTGCTGATGTGGGTGTTTTTCGTGTCTCGTCTGGGGCGGTGAAGCTAACAACAGTAGGACGGATTTTGCTACAAGCTTGGGGCCGGTTATTGGGGGTGGTTTGACGCAGGGGTTTGGCTGGCGGGCTATCTTCTGGTTCCTTGTCATCTTCACGGGGTCGCACTTTGTTCTGATGTTGTTGTTCTTTCCGGAAACCCAACGAAAGATCGTAGGGAACGGGAGTATCAAGCCGAAGGGGTTCATTTACCAGCCACTCTTTTCGCTGATCTGGAGGAGAAGGGGAGAAAAGGATGGTAAAACGGCAATCTCGGGAGAGCAAAATGGGACTGAGGAGGGAGCACCGCAAAAAAGCAGGTTCCGGTTTCCGAATCCTCTGGCTTGCTTGCCGGTGTTGGCAAACAAGGGGTCCCTGCTCGTCATTCTCATCACGACTATCAACTACGCGGTCAAGGCGGCGTTGCAGACCTCACTTGATGCGCAGTGCGTCGAGTTGTACGGCCTCAACTACATCCAGGCCGGACTGATCTACCTCCCGTCAGGGGTAGGGGGCGCGGTTGGTTCATACGTTGCCGGTGGGTTAATGATTGTCCCGGGCTAAGCATGTGGTCAATGTATTGGACTAATTGGATGTTAGGCAAGTTCATCGACTGGAACTACCGCCGTACCGTCGAAAGATTAGAGAAGGAGCTTGGGGGCCAGTACGACAGAAAGTCCCCTGAATTCCCCCTCGAGGAGACCCGGCTCAGAGGGGTGTACCTTTTGACTGCAGTCACAGTTGTCGGGCTCATCGGCTACGGCTTAACTCTCAAATTCCGATGGGTAGGTGGATAATCTTAGCGGGAACCTCCAGAAAAGAAGAACTAACAAGCCGAAACACCTAGCACATCGCGGTTATGCTGGTAATGCAGCTACTGACTGGGACTTCAACCGCTTCACTGTTCGTGGTAAGCTGGTTCCGCCATGCTCGGTTCTATTGGCTCTTATTGACAACCATTAGCTTTGCGGAACCCTCCTAACAGACCTCAACATGGACCGGTCCGCCACTGCTCAGGCGGCCAGCAACCTGGTTCGTTGCCTCAGCGCTGGCGGAGCAGTAGCCATCTTGCAACCGATGGTCGACAATGTAGGACCAGCAGGGTGTTTTGCGATTTACGCATCTATTATCTTTCTTGGCTTTCCCTTGGCTTGGATATTGCAAAGATACGGCGTCTCCTGGAGAAAGGGGCAACCGTTGACTGCTTAGAATAGTACGCACAAGCCTGGACGGCATGAAGTTGGGGTGATAATCTTATTGTTCTACCGGTGAGCCGAGATGAGAAATAATCATAATAATCAAATTATCTAATAAACCTCAGCGTTGTATCGTGCAAAACCGTGTTCATTCTGATGGCTGATGATCTCCCGGAAAGTTGTTTCTATCGTTGGTGCTAAGAAATACCAACCCAGAAAGCATAAAGTGTTCGAGATGGCAAAATGTGAGAGTCTCGAGTCCACGACAAGTTCGACTTACCAATCTTAACATGGTTAGACTACCTATTTATTACCTATGTTACATTTCACATGATGCCGTGTTTAACCCCCAACACCGCCTGGTCATTAGCCCCCCGGCGTACATGTACAGCTCCCTGGACTTGATGATACAAACACAACAAGGACCGCGGCATAAGCTGGTGTTGCTGCGAATACCTCGGCCCGTCGTGCGTTTGTAAGGATCCCAACACCAACGGCAAATAGAACCGTGAAGGTGGCGATAAGTGCTAGTTGTGTTGTTTCCTCTTTTGTAATGCAGAACACGAACACGCTGTTGCACCCCCCGGGAATGGCGTCCTTCCCGATCGGGTATGGCGCTCCGTCAGATTCGCGTCCTCGCACGGCCCCGCCGCGCCCGCCGCATAAATAGAGCCCCTCCTCTCCGACGTCCCTGTCTTGTACCCTCGACTTTCTCTCTCCCTCAATCGCCTTCGCTCGGTCCCTGCCTCCTCATTTCCTTCCCTTTCCTCCCTGCCCATTCATCCTGCAGCCCGCTGGCTAATGTCGCCCGCGCCCCGATGCCCGTTTCGCCGGGCTGGATGCCTTGTCCTTGCCCTCTTTGGCGTCCCCTAGCCGCACGCCGTCGCCTCGCGCGGCGATTATGCTTTGGGTTTGCACTTCATTCTCCCGAGCCCTACTCTCTTTACCGCTCTCCAATCGAGATATTCTCAGCCTTTTGCTTGCAACTTCTGACTCGACTCCACGCTTGACTCCGGCTCGACCTCGACCTTCCTCTACGTTTGGAGCCACTCAACACCGGCTTGGTTTTCCTCCTCACCTCGTCCATGCCCCTTCGTGTTGCCTGCCAGGGTGCCTCCTTTCGTCCGTAGGATCGGAATCCATGCTTGTCTGGTAGGCCCCCCGTTCCCCTATGCAATTTGCAAGACCTGTGCATCTTAGACCAGTCACAAAAATGCCGCAGGTGTCGATTGCGTTGAACGCTGAGACATCAGGAGGCCTCCTCTCGCTTGGCGCATCTAGGCGTCTCGGTCTGCAGATCGGAGGGCCTCCTTGGTCACAATCGGACCGAATGCCAGCGCGGCTGCGGCGAGGCATGCAGGCGGCCAGTTACGAAAGCGGCAGATTGACCTTCTGACCCGACTGCGATCTATTTCCGGGTCACACACCGCCGGATCCGGGCTGGAGCGGGCAGGGGTCGCAAGGCCTTGCCGGCTGATGCGGCCCCCAAAGAGATGAGGTGGCCTTGCTGCCTTCGCTTTAGCGATGGAGAGGCAGATCCGGCCCGAGGAGGAACTGGTTGGTGGGAACGACGAGATTCTGCCTTGCTATGGGCGGTGCCGAAGACGGAACATGGAGGGGGGAGGCGCATGCGGATGGACGGACGCGGGAAGGGATCGAACACCCGCAAACACTGCTTCGGCTAAGCCGCTCTGGGCGACCTCATGGACCATGCGACCTCAGTCAAGGGTTGTGATTCGTGGCGATACGATATCCTACGGCAGCTCCCCTTTCCCGGGCCTCTCCTTTCTGTCTCGGCAATTGCATAATTGGCAGAGTTACGAGGGACCGGTGAATCAATGTCTCGTCCTCTCTGCCACCCGCGACCCCCGCACCCCCCGGGAACCGCATACGACGAGGCGTTTCACGACTGAGCACGGCACGGCTGAGCACGTTTCTTGCGAACCCGCTGGGATGGTGGAGCGGAGGGGAGAGTGGAGGGCCGGGTCCAGGCTCCATGCTGATTCTGAAGTCGAGTCCGCCTTTCTCCGCGCATGCAAATATATTTCTCTCGTTCCCCGACGCCTCAGCAGTGCGAAGATGGCCAGCTTGCACGCCAAATGCTTCTGAGAACCGTTCTTCTTATAACCTTTGACATCTTCTCTCCACTTCAACAGCGCGGTATCTCACTGGGAGCGCGATGGCAGCAGTCTTCCTCGATCACTAGATCTTTTACGTCCCTCCTGTGGCAGCGGGTCCCGAGCCTGAAAGCCATGGCCTTTGGGTTCGAGATGGGGACCCCTCTGCAGCGATCTTTGGGTCTCCTTTGCACCCACCGCTGCCGCAGGATGCGCACGATCCTCATTGCCGTAGTGCTGGAAAGTCACAGGCGGATGCTATCCTGATCTCAAGCGATGACGAGTTTGATGATCTTGGTGGCCGATCCGACACATCTCTTAAGTCGCTCGACGGGCTTCTACCAGATGCACGCAACAAGGTTAAATCCGGCCGTGTTACTGGTACAGGTATGTGCCTGGATCTCGCATTTCTCGGCAGGCCAGGATGTTGACGCGTCTGAGCAGGCAAAGGTGTCGACGCTGCTTCCGTCGATAGCGACGCGCCGGAGCTCTCGGTTACCAGCATGGCTGGCCTAGAATCGCCTGCCTCGCCTATAGCTCTGCACGCTAAGCAGGACCGACCAGTTCCGGCATCCCCGGCATCCCCGGCATCCCGCCGTACGCTCGTGTGCGCGGGGTTGTCTTGTCGTCAGGGTGACGGATGTGCCAGGCACCCGAACCTGTCTGCATCTTACCGTCGGCTTCGAAATGCCAAGTCGTCCAAGGCCAAGGCGGACAACGAGGGTAGCGAGGGTGACGAGCCCGAGCCGGTCGATGCTGGACTGCCCCTGCAGCCGCCCTACAGCCAAGACCGGATCGACTTTCGGCGCGATGTTGGTGGACAATGCAATACCAATCTCGAAGCGGACCACCGCCTTACCTGTCCTCCGGTTCTAGATGACAGAGGAAAGCAGAATGGGATGTGTCCTGCCGTGCCGCCGCAGGTGGTGGAGAGCCGGGCACGCACACCCACACTGCCGGATTGGCCAGAGCACCGGCGAGCTCGAACCGGCAGATGCCGAGGGACGCCTTCAGCCCCAGAGTCCATGCAGCGTCGCCTCTAGTCGTGTGGCTTGATACACAACAGAGGTCCGACAGCTGCCGCCTCTCTCAACATCATGATCGCCGCGGCGACAGCGCTCATACAAGCGAACCAGAACGCTACCATCCTCTCGTTCCGGACGACGGAGGAGAGCAGGATGAAGAGAGTTTCTGTCGTGCCGCTGCAAGCGCAGGAGAGTTGGGCAGGCATGCCAAGTTTTGTCGGGCGATGAGAGCAACAACAAACGTGAGCTGGGCCAATACCGAGCCGGTCCATGCAGTCGTCCGCCAGCCAGGAGCATGGTTAACCTTCAGCATAACATCAAGTCGTCGTCAACGTCGACGTCGTTGCGAATACTGACGACGAGGAGGAACTGCTCCCCTATTGTAAGGAAGTGACCGCCCAAGCAAAGCAAGGAATAAGGATGGTTCGTCCCGGTCGCGCCACTGAAGGGAAGCTGCCTGCAAGGGTAAACACTTGGTTCCTACAACCTGCCGAACAGCACTCAAGCGGCAGAACACGTCTGCGTTGCACCAGCTCCCAATCACTACAGGCTCAACAACCACCAACCCAAGGCCCAAAGCGCCGCCAAAGCCAGCGTAGCATTTCCAAACCGCAATCTTCGGGAGGGCCCGCTTTAGAAGAGAAGACAGACGAGGCTGCTCTTGCAAGCTTTGAGGAATGGCCACTCGAAGCCGTCCTCAAGCGCGTTTTGGTGGATGGGGCAGCGACTTTTCAGGTAGAGTTCACGTGGAACCCTTGTGCAAATCATGGACGAAATGACCACCCATCCGAAACCCAGCGGCGCAAGTCACCGGCAGGGAGGACTTCCTCGACGGCGCGTGCTCTCCCTTCAAGAGTTGCTTCGATGACTGAGGAGGTTCAAGGCGAAGAGTATTTTAAGGTCGAGGATATTCAAGACCGGCGACGGGGAGAAGACGGGTGGGAGTATCTGGTCAAGTGGGCAGGGTATAGACATAAGCACAATACTTGGGAACCCGCTGCGCATTTCGAGCAATGTCCTGAGATCCTGCAGGAGTTCCACCAGAGGAAGGGATTGCCTACAACCTCTTGAATGTAAGTTTGAGGCTGAATTTAGGGACGGTTGAGGTGATGTGCACCTCAGTATGTCAAATCGCTAGTGGACAGAACAGATATTCATACAGGAGGGCCATTTTGTCAGCGGAGAGGTGCAGGAAGATGATCTGGAGCCTCGATCGTGTAGCGCCCCCACTTAGCCGAGCCGACCCGGCGAAGAGTGCCAACTTGATGACGTCACCCTGCCCCGGCCACCTGCAGACCACCCTCATCGCCATCCAAAATATATCCCTGGCGCCCACAGCCAAAGGCGCAGGCATCCCTCACCACCACCAACAACGAACAGCCTTTCCTCCGTGTGTTTGTTGACGAGATTATCCTCAAAAACCTCTTTCCCAGTTGTGGGGGGAGCCATGGTGGGGGAAATGCTGCACAAAACCATCTGCATTTTTCACAGCTGGAGCCTCTCCCAGGGCCGAAAAAGGAAGAAGATTCAATCGTCCACCTTCACAATGCTCAACCGTAAAGGAAACACCAAGCACAGTCTTAATGTGCGAGATGAAGAGCTCACAGTCGCTGCAGATGGCCCGGCTGACTCGTATGCTTGCCCGCACCATCGGGATCCTGGGGGACAGAGTCGCGAGATGCTGCAGTTTGAGATCCTGCTGCATCCACTCCCCTGGCTGGTCGACAGCGGCGCCTCCGAAAAGCACGCTCGGAAGAATGACGTGCTGGTTGATGTAGTAGGCCACGAGCTTCTTCTCGGCATGCGATGCATTAAATGAGCCCGGCCGCCTCGTCTCATCCCTGTGGTCCTCGGGCAGGGTGTATCCGATCAGTTGGCACAACTCGAGGACGTGGTCTCGCCAGAAGCGGTTGTCGAGGACATGCTCGACGGCAAAGTCAGTGCGCCAACCGCTGGCGGTACACACGACCGGGAATAGCCTGCCACGGTCAAGGCGCGCCCCCGCCTTGGCCCTGTCTGGGACATCGTATGCGATGATCTGCTCGTATTTAGAAACTGATCTGGGTGTCCCAGCCGGTGGTCGTCGTGAAAAAGTGACCACGCTTGGGCTCATTCGACGAGGTCGTCCAACCAGAATGTCGAAGACCCGCAAACCGGGACGGCCCGCCCTTTCCGGGGTACGGAGGCCTGCTGTGGCACCGGCCGAAGTTGGGCTGGCCAAGCCTTGACGTTGTTGAACCCCGCCGAGCAAGGATAACAAACCCACGAAAACCGATGGAGCCACGGATCAACGCGATAGGGTTTGTCGTAGCACTAGGCGAACGAGTGCTGGCGCGCCAAAACCTGCTGCCCACGTTTCCGGCCCCTTGAGCGCGAGCGGAGCCGAGGGGATGCAGCTCAGAAGGCCGGGAACGGCAACCAAGGAGCTGGAAATGGAGCTGGAATGGAGCTGGAAATGGCACACTGCGCCAAGATTACGGAGTACATGGTTCTAAACACGCAGCAGTAGGGCGATCCACTGTGAAGGAACCTGGAGTTGAAGGAGAAACTGAATGTCAAAATACCTTCTGCTTGTTCTGATAGTCAAGGCGCATCAATCAAATCCGAGAAAGGCACCCCGCGGGGGGCCGCCCGCATCCCTGAAGTCCCCAAGATGGCGTCGAACGCGAACATTGAAGACACTCATGACGCGCTGAACTCGCCGCAACCGCGACGCCGACCACTGCGCTCCCCTAAACCGTCCGCCAAAGTCCGCGAAACGTTGATTCCCCTCGAAAACAAGGCAAAACCGACCAAGAATACGTCCAGTGCGGCCACGCGATCCGATGGTGCACCCGCCCTGGATGGAAGGTCCAGCGTTGCGCAGAGGCTGCTGGCTGAGGCCAGCAACACGCGTCAAAACATCGAGGAGCTGAAAATCGTCATCCAACAGCAAACCGACATGCTAGCCAAACTCAGCACCGAACTAGTTTCTGTCAAAACAGAACTGGCCACAGTGAAAGCAGAACTCAGTAACGTCAAGAATTGCGTGGCCGAGGAGCAGAAGCAGGTTGCCGAGGAGTTGAAGCAAGTCTACGTGCAATTGGACGATATCTCGAACAACCTGATTCTCGCTACAACGACCATCTCGACGAGCCCAAACCTGTCGTACGCAAATGTCGCCAGAACCCCACCGGATAGTTCCCCTGCGAACCTAAACTCAATATCGTCTATGGAAACCACTCCGTCAAGTACGACCGATTCGCTGTTCTGCATGATCGACACTTCCAGAGTAGAGAGCGGAGAAGGCGATAAGACTTCGGTGGGGGCAATTAGGACAATCGTTGAGAGAGAAATCCGGGGAAGGGGAGACTGCGTCAATTGGCGATGTCGCGCAGTGACAAAAGATCCAAAGAACCCGAGCCGGGTTAGGATTGCCTGTAGGGACGAGGCCGAACTCAAAATTGTCAAGGAGGTTGCAGAGAAAAAGATGGCAACAGGCACCCGAGTGCTACGGGACGAGCTTTACCCGATCAAGGTCGACAATGTCAACCGCTCGGTGGTTCTGGACGACGAAGGCAACATCCGAACTGGAGCTGCGGAGGCATTCAGTCAAGAAAACGAAACCACAGTGGCGAAGATTGCTTGGCTGAGCAGGAAAGATACAGCGAAAGCGTACGGATCGATGGTGGTTTACGTCACCAAAGGGAGCGATGCAAGGAGATTGTTGAGTGAGGGTTTCTTCCACGCTGGGGGAGAATCCGGATACACACGGGTATTTGAACGCCGGGTGCGTCCGGAGCAGTGTTACAACTGCCAGGAAATCGGACACAAAGCCTTCAACTGCAAGAAAGCCCAGGTGTGCGCAAAATGTGCCAAGCAAGGCCACCACCACAGCGGGTGCAAGGAAACGGTCATGAAGTGCGTTCTCTGCCAGAGGACCCACACGAATGCTTTCAGCCACAACTGCCCGAAGCTTTATCCTACTAGCCAGAAGTAGGATACATTCTCTCGACTTGACAGTTGAGACCACTAACTCTTCTCCCCTTCGACTAACTGACCCCCCAAGCACCCTCGTGGCACTAACCGCAGGACTCGCTTTAGCTGCTGAAGATAGGACGCTAAACACTTGGAGAACATAGCCTTCAAGCGCGCCTGCAATTTGTCAACTAACCACGAGATTTCGACGATAAGTCAGATACGGTTTAGGGAATACTGCATCAGGAATGACAAATTTAAGGGCTGGTACGAGATCAAGGCAGAATCACAGGGAGGGATTATGTAACTAGCATCATGGCCCTTTAGGCTTAGCGCCTCCGGGCGGAATAAATATCCATCCATCCATCCTCGACAATCACGAACCAAGAAATTAAATTTCTGTCAAAAAGTGGCGGAAATGAGGTTTTATGGTCGACATCTATTATGGGTTGACTATTACTACTAGAGCGACGTACCCGCATCTTCGTCAGCAGCTTCAGCAGCCTGCGCTGATTCAGGCATGGCGTCCCATTCCTGAAACCACGGCTCGTGCCTGTGGTCCTGCTCGAGCCGCCGTCTGGTTTTCTCGCCCTGTCGTTCCAGCTTGAGGATGGCCTCCTTCATGTCTTTATCAAGCACGTTCTTGGGTTCGATAAAGTCACTGCGCGCCGATTTCCGAAACAGATGCAGCCCGTCCCAGCTCTGCGCCCTCATGAAGTTGGGTCGAGTCGCTGTGCCGCCAAAGTGGACGCCTTTGAGGTTGACGAGGACGTCCGAGAATTGTTTTCCCTGGCTCTTCTGATCTGTCATGGCGAAGGCCGGCGTACAAAGAGGTCCTGTTCTATGGGTAACCCGCCGAAAACCCGGCTTGCCCCTCCATCTGGTTTCCTTGCCCCGCATTTGGCTCGGGATGGCGACCGTCTTGCTCTTGATCAAGATGGTGCCGTTAGGGAGCCCGGGAATAGCGAGGCCCGCGCTATCGTCCAATTCGAGGAAGACGGCCACCGGCGGTCCAAGGTGGAGAGTCACGTCGCTGGCGAGCGCAATGGTGCTGGCAGCGAGGTCGGGGAAGATGTCGACGGCCTTGAAAGGTGCCCCGTTGACGACCTTCAGCCCAATAAACTGGTTCCGAGTCACCACGACCGACATCCCCTGCGCGTAGAAGAACAGGCCCGGGGTTGGCAGCTGCGAGTCGTCTCCGCGGCGGAGCACGTCGCCCAGCTCTTCGACGCGCAGCCGCTTCCCCGATTCGGTGTCATGCTTGGCTACAAAGATGGAGATGTGTTTGCCGTGGGCACGGGCCCACTGGACGACGGCTGCCATGTTCAGGTCCCACCGGTCTTGGTTCAGGGGCGTGATGGCTCTCAGACCGTCTACGAAGGACGCCTTGCACGACGGTGTATAAAGGCGTTGACTGAGCCGCTGGAAGTCCAGCTCGGTCTGCTCGCCGTTGCGCAGGCGGCCGAGGAAGCCCCGAAGCCTTGGGCAACCATCCGCGCGGACCTGCTCCTGGAGGATGACAACGGTTGTGAACTGGAGGAACAGCCTGTGCGCTGCGAGATGCTCCGCCAAGCTTTCCGGTCTCTGTACGCCATCGGTCCCTGGGCGCCGGCAAGAGGAGGCTGGTCTGCAGGACGGGGTCGAACTGGAAGAAGTCCCCGGAGAACAGGACCATTGGGATCCCGCCAAACGGGCGATAACTCTCTCCCGAGCCAATCAGAAGCAAGAGGTCTACAGCGGGAAAAAAGAGGGCGCGCCTGTACGATTAAACGCTAGTCTAACTAGAGAAACCACCTTTCCTTACTTTCCCAGCATTCGTCAATAACCATCATGAAATGAAAAAAAAAGACAATTACATCGTTGACTCCGCTATGGGGCCTACCTGCAGCCGGCAAGTTCCTCCAGGCTCCTTTGGCGTGCCCGCGCGCAGCGGGCACGGTGGCACGTGCACTACCGGTGCTGCTGCCACGTGCACTCCGACGGCAGGCGCCGTCACACAAGCCGTGAAACCCGAAGTGCGGATATATGTTGCCACGGTTCTGTAGTGTAGCGGTCATCACTCCGGATTCTGATTCCGGCAACCCCGGTTCGAGTCCGGGCAGGACCTCATCTCCTTTCTTTTTTTAAATTTTATCTTCTTTCAAATATAGACAAGCCGGCTGACATTTTTATCTCATTTTTGCATCTTCATCTAATTTTAATGTTTTTGTGAGTACCGTGAAGACCAACGCAAAACCACCGCGGACACAAACGAATGCCCCGGTTTAAACCCGACCTCTCTGGAGAAAGATGCCGAGATTCCGAAGCCGTGGACTCGAACACTGTCAGATTCGATTGGCCGTTTGCCGCCGGCAGCGGCGTCTGCACCGTGTCAACCCACCGTTACACAGCCTGGCCCCGCCACGAGCCCACCGTCCCTCAACCTAACATCCGCACGATCAGACGCCACTGTGTAACCGGTCAAAGGCGCCCCATCTCTCGTTGGACGGACGCATGTGTCAATCTCAGCTCCCTTCCCTCCGAGGCTGTTGAGGACGGGCATGCAGTGCGACCTGTGCGCATCTCCCATCGCCGAGAGTGTCTATTTTTTACCCTTTTAGGTCGCGACCTCGAAAAACAGTGTGACTGGCCCGAACCTTTTGTGAGCTTGGATGATGCGGCAGGTTGCTGTGGTGCATGCTGCCCGGTTTGGCTGCATCTGCCCGTGTCCCTGATCCCAGCGGACCCGGTGATGGTCGTCATCGAATTCGGCCGACGCAGTCAGTCGTCGGGCCATGGTGGTCTATGCGAGTCGCTGAAGAACGCCCTGCGGCTATCGTAAACTCCGGGAAACCGCCAGGAACACTTCCTGTCACCGGATTTCCCTTTTCGGTTGTATGTACACGTCCGCACGTCGGTACGTACATACCTGAAACGCGAAAAGCAGGGATCGGCAGCGTGCCCAGCGGGCTGGACCGCGAACAATGGCGGCCGAGGCCTGGTGGCAGTGGGGATGTTCCGAGTCGTTCCTGGATTCGGAGCCTGTAACCAACGTTGGAAAACAGATGTCCAGGTATTTAGTACGCAGTGTACTTGGGGCTTCGCGGCATTTCGACCCGCATCCCAGGAGTCAGTCACAATCTGCGCCGCGGAGATGGACAACAACGACGTTTTCCGCTTGGCGGTTTATTTTTGCTGAGCTCGTGACGCAAGCTCAGGAGGTCGGACCCCAACCACTCGCTCATTCCGTTTCCCCAAGGATGGGTAAGTGCACTGTGTATAGGTGACGGCCAAGCTTGAGGCTTATCGTACTGAGTACAGAGGAAGCCACATTTGACCTGGAAGTCGAAATCGCGTGTACCTGAGATGACGGTAGCAATGCGCGAGAGGTTGACCGTTTTGGTTGGCGATCGGCGACTTGATCGGATTGTGGAAGGGATCTTCATCCATGCGCGGTGCTCTGCATGGCCGTGGTCTAGACCTCCGGGGTTTTGCAGCCGGGCTTTCTGCTTATGTTGTTTGGCTGCCTCGCTATCCCAAGTTGGCAACCATCCGCACAATCCGTAGTTCGAGGCATCGGGAGGATTTGAAGCTTTGATTCCGAAAGGAAATTGTATGCAGAATTTTGGCCTCGACTGGGAGCCGTGATTGTGAAACAAGGAAAAGCTCCGCAGCCGTCTGCTTGGCGGCGGGGTTCCAGATCGCCAGGGTACTGTGTAGTGGGGAGCACGAGCGGCGGGTCCAGCGATGCCCTGCAGCGGATCACCGGCATTCGGAGAGGGTCTTCGGAGGTCTAGGCCACGGTCTTTTTGTTTTGTTCCTGTGACATCATCTCGCCCAAGAAGAACTGACGGAGAAACGAAACAAATGGTGCTCGACTCGGCAAGTACTTATCGTAGAGGCCTCGGAGTCGTCGTGGCAGGCCTGGGAGGAGAGAGCCCGTGGCGCCCACCGAGCCGGGCCAGATCGCTCCTCAGCCCGGTTTTGTGATTTGTCAAGCGGTTGCAGTTCGGTCTCGGGGCCCGGGGCGTGCGAGTAGCTGGATAAGGTATGCGGTGAGGGAAGAAATTCTGGATTTAACGGCCAATCGTGAGCCACCACATATAATTCTCCGTTGCGCCCGCCATTGATGGGTGATGAGGCGTGTTTCAGGGCATGCGCTGTGCAAGGCAGACATGCCCGTGGTTGCCGATCCGGGCTGGGACTTACGGATCCTCATATGCGATAGCGAGCGCTCGGGAACGCGGCCGGTCGATGTCTGTCTGTAGGGTACCCAGCCTCGCCAGCTGCCCGTCTTTTTAAAAAACCTACCTAATTAACTCGTTATTCGTAATCGTGAGATTGACGATTCGATTTGTGACCGCGCCGGCGGGAACAGAGAAGTTTTGAGCCAATAGCCGGGTGCAATGACTTCGATGGCCGAGACGAGCTGTTTCCGCCAGAAAACAGAAAACCCATGTTTTTCTTGCTGATAGGTTGGGAATCATTCTTGGGGCACACAAGCACGGATGTCTTGCGGAAAGAGGCACGATCGTGGCGTTGGCGCAGGTGGAAGATCAGATTTTGCACCCGAGCCTTGCGTGCTGCTGGTGCGCTGCTTCGATTCAAATTCTGAAAGAGTGGAACCGACCTAATTGACACCGCTGGCTGGCGGCCTCTGCCCGGGCATTTCTGTGCTCTGTGTTACCGTGGCGACTGTCAGCCCACAACAGACTTGACAGCAAATTGAAACATATTATCTCATGCCACGGGCAATGGGATAGGTCTATGAAGTACATTCCGTATCGTCAGCAGGCGGATTTCATCAGCATGACTATCATAACGGTAGCGCGGATGATGGTCGAGCTTTTCTTTTCGAGCCCTTCCCCTGCGCCCCGCCCCCGCAGACCCCACCGTGACGTGCCCATATGGTTGCAATGGGCTGGATTGGGGCCGTTTAACGCTAGTTGGCATCTGCTGATTTCGGCACCACGGGAATGGGTCGCGAAAACGAAAGAGCGTTTGTCAATTTGCTATCGCCCCTCGCGTTTGTCGGGCGGGCTCAGTAGCGCCCACCTGCTCCTGCACCTATCCGTACCGCAGTTCCCGGTGACGTGTCTGCCCGCTGTGGCCCCAAGCTGCCGCCGAGTTACAGGCAAAAGTTTTCCCAGTGGGGTGGGTACTGGCAAGGGTCACGGCCAGGGGCCCACATCCCCCCCTCGAGGTACCGACGTATCGCTCGCAGCCGTCAAAGCAACCAGCCATTCATCTATTTCAAAAGGTATATACATTCGCATCAATAACAGCCTGTTGCCGTATAGGCATTGTATATACACGCTCTCGAAGGAAACCCTCCGGGATTGCTTCCCACGCAGCATAAACTGCCTCGCGTAGTCGGTCGTATGACATCTTCGCTGGGTAGTTGGCCGCGATGTTTTTTGACGGCTGCGAGCGACGCGTCGGTACCTCGAGGGGGGGATGTGGGCCCCTGGCCGTGACCCTTGCCAGTAACCACCCCACTGGGAAAACTTTTGCCTGTAACCTCCGTACTTCGGCTGGCGCGATGTGCATACGATTGGACATCCGGTATGCGGCGGAGGTGAG